TTAAAATAAGATAGCAAGACATGAAAGATGTGGTAGAAACTTAAAAGGCATATATAAATGTGAAAGAAGTCGTTCTGAAAGGCTGTGTCTTATATGACTCCAACACTGACACTCTGGAAAAAGCAACACTATGTAGACAGGAGAAAATCAGCAGTTGCCAGGAATAAGGAGAGGGAGGGCAGTAGCTAGGCAAAGAACAAAGGGGATTAGGCAATGGGAACTATGCTGTATGATGCTGGGTTAGGGTTAGGTCATTAAGAGTCATTTGTCAGACTCATAAGATACACAGTGCAGAGCACTGAGGACTTCAGCTGACAACACTACACAGGAAAAAATGCACCAACACACAAGAACTCTACACCTGGCTCCACTGTCTGGAGCCTAAAGCTACTCTGAAGGATATAGCAATGAACAAACGTTGAAGTGATTATAATTTTACTACCACCATTAGATTAAGTAGCTATGGAAATTTGCAAAGGTAATGTTAAAGTAATGCCTCCTACCTACAGCTTTTCTAAATCCAAATCCATTTTCATTTTCAATCCAAAAGGATTTCCCAGCTGTACCGATCTAGTTTCCAGGCTCTTCCCTGTGTTTTTACACCTGTCTCCCCTCTGCTTGCTCTGCCCCATTTTGTAACGCTTGGTCAAATCACTGCATCTCCCAAACCTTCCTTAGACTTCAATTGTTTTCCTGTCATCAACTCTTCTGGTCTTTTACAGAGAGGCACTGCACCCCTCCCTCTATTTCTCACCAAACTTGGCTTCAGCTCCTGTTACCCTAAGGGGCACACTCTCCAATCACCAAAGTTTTCCAGTCCCAAATCTGGATTATGGGTTTATCTGGAGGCACCAAAACAGCACCCCTGGTCTACTCCCCAGACATCTGTCTCCTTAGATCTCCAAGGTGTATTTGTAATCCTTCCTGTCTCAAATTTGAGTCAGCAACTAAGCCACCAGTTCACAGACCTCCCCCATACCTGTAGGTCTACCCGAATCCTCTGGTTCCACACATGCCTGAACCCCATAGGAACTTCAGCATCCATTCCTCAAACACTCTTCTGGAGTCCTCTCTTAGCATGGACACACACTAGACTAATCTGTGCCAAAAGATGCTTTCTCCTCATTCCTCAGAAGTTGGGACATAGCTCACAAATGGCAAACATGGCCCAGCCAAGCTGATTTCCTCTCCAGAGAGTCAGGAATGGAGATTAAGGCACTCAACCAGGAAGTCATAAACGGCTACTGGCTGACTACAATGAAATAAATGAAGAGACCGATGTACAGAGTCAAGAATACACTCAAGGAGAATGACTGAGCTAAGCTACCTTGGTACTGCCAGTATGGAAACTGGCCAGTTTTTGACTTGTACATTCTATGAAATATCATCATGCCTCTCATGGGTTTTTTTGTTTGTTTGCTTGCTTGCTTGCTTTTCTGCACTTAATTTCAGTGTACATGCAACCCAGTGACTGCTAAGATCGTTTTACACACACACACAATACACACATACACAGCTGCCAAGGTCATCAGGATGTACCTTGATTTCAGAAGCACTGATTCGCAGCTGGGTGTGTTGCTACACTACTATCTGTGATCAGCACTTGGAAAGCAGAGGCAGGAGGATTCTACATAAGCTTTAGGCCAGCCTGGGTTACACAGTGAGAGCCTGGCCAGTCAGGGTTACAGGATGAGGCCCTGTCTCAAATGTAACGATGTACAAGTAGAAGATGATAGAAGTGAAGAAATGGAAGCCAGCACACAACTATGTCAAACCCAACTGCTCCCTTCAAACCCTCCCACCTTTTGAGACAAAGGCAACCAACTTTGCATTTCTGTATCAGCCTGAGGGAACTAAAACACCAGTCATTATTACACCATTCTTTGGGCTGGAGTGATGGTTCAGTGGTTGGGATTACTTATTGCTCTTCCAGAGGACCCAGTTCAATTTCCAGCACCCACGTGGCAACTCACAACTATCTAACTCCAGTTCCAGAGGAACTGACACACATAAATGCACATAAAAGAAAACTAAAAAAAAAAAAAAGAATTTAGTACACCATTCTTTAACTTTTCAAAGTAGAAGTCTTATCTCCCCAACAAGATTATTATAAACTCATCAGATCTCGGACTTTTCCAGCATAGATCCTTTAAAGATAATAAACATAAAAATATTCATTTAACTTAAGAGAAAAAGTTCTATTCAATAAAAAAAATCTAATTTTCCACTAAGCTCAAGAAGGGGAAGATTTTCAAATAAATTTTTAACATGAAGAAAGTACACCCAACTAAAATGGCCACAATTCCCAAGACCCTCAATACTGCATGCTGTCAAGGAGCCACTTGCCCTCAGACTTTGCTGGCTGCAGAGTAGTGAGCACACCAGCAGAAAACATGTGTAAGGTATGGCCCAGCTCACCAGCAACATTTACCAGGACACATACAACAGGCACCCATGAAAACCAGACTTGGGTTAATTGTTTGTCCTAGACCAATGGGGACACAGTTGGGTGGGAGGCTCTATTGAAGAAAATGCCTAGCTGAAGAAGCAAGGCTGATCAAGCTGCACCCACCTCATTCAACAGTCAAAACTGACCTGTAGTTAATACAACTCAGAAAAGCAGTCACCTTCAGTATGGATAGGAATGCCAGGAATTTTTTTTTTTTTTTGGATTTTTGAGACAGGGTTTCTTTGTGGCTTTCGAGACTGTTTTGGAACTCGCTCCGTAGACCAGCAGGCTGATCTCGAACTCACAGAGATCCACCTACCTCTGCCTTCCGAGTGCTGGGATTAAAGGCGTGCACCACCAACACCCAGCTTCCAGGAATATTCTTTATCAGAAATAAGGGGCCAGGCGATGGTGGCACACACCTTTAATCCCAGCACTTGGGAGGCAGAGGCAGAAAGAACCAGATCTGTGAGTTTGAGGCCAGCCTGATCTACAGAGTTCCAGGACAGCCAAGGCTACACAGAGAAACCTGGTCTCAAACACCAAGAGAAAAAAAAAAAAGAGAGAGATAAAAGATGATCATTTACATATGGGTGTGTGTGTTTGTGTGTATAAAAATCTTTTGAGCTGGGGCTGGACCAATGGTCCAGCACACTGCTCATACACAATAATAACGATAATAATAAGTTTTGGGTTTTTTTTGTTTTTTGTTTTGTTTTTCCAGACAGGGTTTCTCTGTATTGTTTTGGAGCCTGTCCTGGAACTCACTCGGTAGACCAGGCTGGTCTCGAACTCACAGTGATCCGCCTGTCTCTGCCTCCCGAGTGCTGGGATTAAAGGCGTGCGCCACCAACGCCCGGCTTAATAATAAGTTTTGAGTGGCTGGGAAGTTAAGATCACTTCTGCTCTGGATTCGGTTCCTAGTACCCACATGATGGTTCACAACTGTCCTTAACTCCAGTTCCAGGGGATCTGAAGCCCTCTTCTGACCTCTACTGGAACTAAGCAAGCATGTGATGCACATACACGCAGGCAAACATACATATAAAAATTTTCAAATAAAACTTTAAAAACAGCCGGGCGTTGGTGGCGCACACCTTTAATCCCAGCACTCGGGAGGCAGAGGCAGGCGGATCTCTGTGAGTTCGAGGCCAGCCTGGTCTACAAAGTGAGTTCCAGAACAGCCTCCAAAGCCACAGAAAAACCCTGTCTCAAAAAACCAAAAAAAAAACCAAAAAACTTTAAAAACAAGTCATATTGCCGGGCGGTGGTGGCGCACGCCTTTTATCCCAGCACTCGGGAGGCAGAGGCAGGCGGATCTCTGCGAGTTCGAGGCCAGGCTGGACCGACAGCCTCCGAAACAATACAGAGAAACCCTGTCTCGTAAAAACCAAAAAAAAAAAAAAAAAAAAAAAAAAAAAAGTCATCTTAACTGAACTCTAGGGATGATCCTGTGTGGATTCCGGACTCGGCCTAGAGCATCACAGCCGGCTCTCCTCCTCCTCCCGGAATGCCAGGGAGTGTCATTCCACCTTCACCAGGGAACGTCGAGCCGCGACCCGGCCCCAGGTCTCAGACAGGCACGACTCTGTAAAGTCCTGAGTGGGACGAGACGCCGGCTACAAAGTCCCTGTCCCACCTGGCACGAGGGACTCTTCCCTGGGCTGTTTTCGGGGACTCTAAGCTTGGGATGAGCGGGTGTGTCAAGTTTGTGAGAGCTCAAGGGACGGAGGCGGGGAGGATCTGCCCCGTACAGAGCTAACCGTGTAACGCCCAGGCCGGAGAACGCCGGTGCACGTGTATTTCCAGGTCAAAACTGCGGCCCCCGGGCAGCCGCGGCGAGGTCACGACAAAGGACCCGGTCGCTCTCTCCGCGGATCCACAGCGCTCCTCGGGAGCCTCCTCGCAGACCTGTCAGGACTGCGCCCCAGCAGCGCCCGGCCCGAGCTCGCTCCGCAGCGCCCCGCCGAGCAGCACCGCCCGGGTGCTGACAGGCCGGCGTTCGCCTCGGGCCCGGGTTCGGTTAACACCTCGGACCGCACCGACTCACCTTCCTGCTCGCGCCACCGAGAGACACCTTGGGCCTCGTCTTGAAGTCGCCTTCGAAGCTGAACATCTTCGCCGCCTATCCCATCTGCGCGGCCCGGCAGGCGGCGGAGCGGCCGGGGGCGGGCCCGGCGGGCTGGGCGGGGCCCGGCAGGGTCCCGGCCTCGCAGTCCCGCGCCGCCCCGCCTGCGGCTCTGCGCTCTCCGCCCTGCCCGCGGGCGCGAGCGCGGCGACGCTGGAGGCCGGCCCGTCTGCGATGCTTCATCCACGGCGCGCCGCCGCCGAGCGAGGGGCGCCCCAACTCGCGCCTGCACCGCGCTGCCGCCGCAACCAAGATGGTGGCCGCCCGCACGGCGCGCGCGGCCCCGGGAACGTGCGCGGCCCTGTCATCGACAGCGCGGCGCTCCTCCCGGCAGCCCCTGCGAGCACGAGCGCCGGCGCCGACCATCAATAGCGCGGCGCTCCTCCCGGCAGCCCCTGGGCTTGCCTGCGTGCGCGGCTCCGCGGGGCGCACCCTGCCGTGCGTGGACAAGGACGGGGCCGCGCACGTTCCTGGAGACCGAAAGCCCCGCGAAGAAGCTAGATGTGAGGGAACGGGTAACTAAGGCAGAGAATCCGCATCGTAACCCAGAGACGAATAATATATGGCATAAGAACAAAAGTATTCGCGGACGTACACCTGACACATAAATGTACACTGTACATATACAGATACACATGAATACACACCAGCACACACAAGTTAGACCACACCACATATACGTGAATATGTAGCCAATATACACGTGCACATGTTTAAGATATAGTCTCATATAGACACACAAGTATACACCAACATTATATGTACCACACTATATATATGAATGCATAATACACATAAATGCGCATATAAGCCGTCGTAGATACATAACACACAAATGTACCCTAACATATCCATACACTTATATACATGTATGTATATCTAATATGTGCAAGCACAAGTATAAAAACACCATAGACGATTACATATACAAAAACATAAATATACACAAAGCAATATAGATAAATCTACACCATATACAACATAAATATTCGCATACACATATGTCATACAAAGCATCATAAATATATATCATGTACACGAGCATATATGTGCGTATGTATATACATATACATAAGCCAAAACACCAGTCCTCAAAGGTCACACCAATACTATGAGATTCCGTTTAGAACAGAGCCGTGGTGTAAGAATTGGGTACAGGGCAGGAAAGAACTCAGTGGTCTCTTGTGGCAGGAAAATATTTGGATGTGATAGTGGTTGCAGAAAAACACATATGGCTGGGTGGTGGTGGTGCACACCTTTAACCCCAGCTCTTAAGAGGCAGAGGTAGGTGGATCTCCGTGAGTTCAAGGACAGCCTAGTCTACAGAGCAAGTTCCAGAACAACCAGAGTTACACAGAGAGACCCTGTCTCAACTGTCAAAAACAAACAAACAAACAAGCCAAAACCAACAAAGCTAACAAAAATACATATGTGACAAGGTGACCCAAGTCTATTCAGGTGGCACACAACTATTTGGGGATGGCATTGCATGTGTTATTATCTTGGTTGTAGTGATGATGTCATGGGATTTATGTTCAAAATAATAAGTGGGATACATTAAACACAGACACCTTCCCCTTGTCCTTCATTTCAGTTAACAACAGTCAGTTGTGATTAAAAATATTAAGTGGAACATTCCAGATATAAATAACTCACAAGTTTTAAATTGAGCACTCTTCTAAGTAATGGGATGAAATCTTGCTGTTACTCCTATCATTTGAATGATGCCCTCCTCTAAAATACACGTAGTATTTGCTACCCTCGCATTAGACACTTAGTAACCATCTTTGTTTCCATGTCAGTTTTCATAGTACTGTAGTGCTTTGTGAAGTTGCCAGGTGCCTCCTTCAAGGGAAAAGGTGCAAGCTTATCGGGTATATGTGGGGAAAACACTAGAAGGTTCAGCACTCTCCATGCTTTCAGAGTCCTAATAAGGAGCTAAGGACAGAGCTTTATGAATTCAGGAACCACAGTGTGAGAAGTTTATATATCAATTGTACAGAAAACAACCAATGACTATATAAACAGAATGTCACTCTGATTTGGATAGTAGGCCATGCTGATTTAAAATATAATCACAATCAGAAACTAGATGCAGGATTTCCAAAGCACATGTCTAACATTTTTGTGTATGCGCATGTGCACATGTATGAATGTGGTGTGTGTGTGTGTGTGTGTGTGTGTGTTTATGTGTGTGGCATAAACAAGCTTGGCAGTTGTTACTCAGGCACCTAGACCTTATCTTTTGAGACAGGATCTTCCACTGGCCTGGAACTAGACTGGAGGCCTCCTTACTCTTCCTCCCCACAACTCCCCAGAACTGAGATTACAGACTCATTCCACTCAGGTTCTCATTGTTGTAATCCAAGCAAATCTGGCCCCGCTTGTCACCCACCTGCACGTGCCAGGTGTAAGTACCCTGGCTCTTTAAAAGAAACAGTCCACCCACTTCCGTTCTCTCCTGCTGTTTCCCTGGAGGGGCAGACAGGACTTTTTAAAGTCTCCCTCTTCTCTTCTGCCCTGCCTCTGTCCCCGTGTCTAAGAGTCTCTTTACTTTTCTCTTTCCTTTCCCCCTCACTTCCCTTTCTAATAAAACTTCTCACTTAAACTTCTCACTTGCCTGACATGGAATCCCCCAAGCCCCCCCCCACGCACTTTATTCCTAACACTTATGCTTAAGTAGCAAGCAGTACTGTAGCAACTTGCTGTGGATGTGTATAACTGATTTAAAATAACAAATTTTAAATGCAGCCTAAAATAGTAACAACTATCCCGCGTGGCAGGTGGTGTGTGTGTGTTGTGTGTATATAGACTATGGGATAGCTCGTTTTATGTGTCCAGAAGCTAAGGGATGTCCAGATGGCTGGGGAAACATTAATTTTGGTTGTGTCTGTGAGGGCGTTTCCAGGAAGATTAGCATTTGAACAGGACTGATTAAAGATGTGCTCAATTTTGTGGGCCAGCAGCATCCTCCAGTTACTGCAGGTCTGACAAAGATGTCATCCACATCTTGGAGCTCCAGAGCCCTGGGTACGGGCCCTCTGGCCCAGGCTGAACCGCACCAACTGCTCTTCAGGGTCTCTGGATACCAAGGGTGATCTTTTTTTTTTTTTTTTTTTTGGTTTTTCGAGACAGGGGGTTTCTCTGTGGCTTTGGAGCCAAGGGTGATCTTTACAGTATCCACAACACAATCACTTTCCTGAGATCAGGCTGTGCCCTCCTCTAAGTTACTCCATACCGTGTAAAAGTGCTTTTATTTTGTTTTGTTTTTCAGATGTGCCCTGCCTTTTTACAAGCAGCTTCTGACTTCAGATTGAGGGCGGAAGATGACTGTGTCTTGAGTGAGTGCACAGACACCACCATCCACCTGACACCTCCCACGTAGCACAGACTGATAAATGAATTATTCCTGGGAGTAGAAAAATGTTCTCCTATAAATTTATGGGGATAAGTTGAGGCCACAGGGGCAAATAGGTACCTAAAATCATATCATAGAAATCAGGACTAAGAACTTACCCAGTGTGCTAGACTGCTGGTCCACCCGCTGCCTCATCAGGACCCGAACCCACAGTTCCTGCTCTGGGTCTGCTTTCCCCCTTCCATCTCTGCCGTGGCTTGTACCTTCACTCGAAAGCCTGGCTCTCCTGCAGGCCTACAGCAGCAACACCTTCTTTCCTGTGTTGGTTTAGGTTCCTTAGTCTAACAACACTGACTCTACTGTACTTCCCTCCGCCCACTTCAAACAACACATTTTAGACTAGTGTGGGCTTTTCGCTTTTCAGTTCTGAGGATTGAATTTAGGGCCTGATAACAGGCTAGATCTATCACAAACGGGGCTAGTGGTGCACTCAGGTCTCTGAGTTTGAGGCCAGTCTGGTCTACATAATGAATTCCAAGACAGCCGAGGTCACACAGAGACATTGTCTCAAAACAAAGTAAAAAAGGGACCTATCACAGAGCTAAAGCCCCAGCTTTTGTGATGGAATGAAGTCTGTGACTCTGGGTGGTTTGAACGAGGCCCAGCATTTGAGCACTTGAGTATTTTGCCTGCGTGTATGTCTGTGTTAAGATGGCTGGCTAGTACCAGCTGTGCACTGAGTTGGTAGCACTGCCTGGGGAGTTTTAGGACTGGGGGCCTCAATGGAGGAAGCAAATCACTGGAGGTGAGCTTTGAAAGCATATACAGCTTCACCCTACCTCTGCTTAAATCACTGGAGGTGAGCTTTGAAAGCATATACAGCTTCACCCTACCTCTGCTTAAATCACTGGAGGTGAGCTTTGAAAGCATATATAGCTTCACCCTACCTCTGCTCAATCTTTTTGCCCAAATCTTTTTTAAAAGAAAAAGAAATACCTGCACTTCCATGATCACTGAAGCATTTTACAAGCTATAGGGAGAAATTAAGTGTCCATTAGTAGATGAGTGAATTAAGATAGTAGTTGACCTTTCTTGTTTGTTTGGTTTTTGGTTTTGTCGTTTTGTTTTGTTTAGAGACAGGATTTCTCTGTGTAACCCTGTTTGTCCTGGAACTTGCTCTGTAGATCAAGCTGCCCTCAAATTCACAGAGATCTGTCTGTCTCTGACTCCGAAGTGCTGGGATTAGAGGCGTGCACCACCATCACGAAGCACCATTCAACCTTCAAAAAGAGAAAATCCAGCCAGGCGGTGGTGGTGATTGCCTTTAATACAAGCACTCGGGAAGCAGAGGCAGGTGGATCTATGTGTGTTTGAAGTCAGCCTGGTCTACAGAGAGAGAGTTCCAGAACAGCCAGAGCTGTTATACAGATAAACCCTATCTCAGAAAAGACAAAGGTGGGGTATAAAGGGAAGGAGGGAAGGAGGGAAGGAGGGAGAGAGGGAGAGAGGGAAGGAGGGAAGGAGGAAGAGAGAGGGAGAGAGGGAAGGAGGGAAAATCCTTCCATTTACAGCAACATGAGTGAACCTAGAGGACATTACCCAAAGTAAAGTAAGTCAAACACACAGAGGGAAATACTACATGCACTCACTGCCATGAATCAGCTAGCTAGGTTCCTTTTTCTCCTTTTTCTCCTCTAGATGGAAGTCATAGATAGCCAAGGAGAAGCTCTTCAAGTGCTAGTCTCTGGAAGCTCTTATTTCCTTCCTTTTCTGACAGCCATGAACAGTGGCAGTAAGTCACACAGCAGCAGCAGCAAGTGGAGCCCTCTAGCGTTCCTGCTCTGGCCTCAGGTATTAGGGACTCTTGGCTAGAGGTGGGAGACTGAAGCCCTTAGTCTGTAATATTCTTGGACCTTTTTGGTGACTGAGCCTACAAGTTCTCTTTTTCTTCCAGTCTCTCAGCTTTCTTCAGTGGGCTCACAGCTCTGGCTGCTGTCCAACTGGTCAGCTGCTCCCTTAGCTGACATCTTCTCCAACTCAGTAGCTGCTGTTGGTATGACAGGGCATACTCTCCTCTGCATTCGGAAGGCTGGGTGCCAGTCAAGACTCCCACTGCTGGAACAAGGTACCAGAGGTCGTCAGGATCACTCAGGCCTGGGCAGCCATGACTGAACGACCACCAGCTAGGTTCAGGCTCCCAGTCAGCAGCAGATAGTATTGGAACCACAGGTGGTGCCAAGTGGGATCAAGCTTATATGTTGGGGTCCTGGCCACACCTGTGAGGTCATCACATTTTGTCAGCAATCAACACGGTCTTGCTACCACAGCTTTCTGTTGCTTCTTTCCTCTTTCCCATACTGCTGAAAGTCCACAAGAAACGAGCACTGGAGAGAAGCCTTCATTGGAGCCCGTATTGCAAAACCATGGGAGGTAGCATACATAAGAGAGTGTCTCCCAGCCAAAGCACGGATGAACACAATTGCCCACTTCTATAGGGTGTTTGTACCAATCATAGCCTTACCTCTTAGCACCCATCACAGCAATTCCTCCTCTGTGGAAGTGCACCCCCTCAGGCCACAGTAGAAAAGGTTCTCTGAAGCTTACGGTTGTAAAGCTTGGTACCAACTGTGTCCAGCAGTCCTGCCTGAGGTTGGGCCTTCAGAAGCCAGGGCAATCAGTGATATCTTTGTACGCTTAACTCGAGGTGTCTGTGGAATGTTCAAGACAGCTAGTCCTGAGCTGGCTTTCTCTTTCCAGGGATGGAACTCAGGCTGTCAGTCCTGGCAGCAAGCACCTGTACCAGCTGACCCATTTTACCAGACCACCTCCTGTCTTAAGAAGCCACCCTCCAGGGTGGAATGCTTCAACTGAGAAGTTTCCAAGCCTTAAAGAACCTCCCTCCAAGGTTCAATGCTTCAACTCAGAGGAAATTACTACATCATAGCCAGTCAAGTTGTGTCCAAACACCTGTCCCCTGGAGCTGTCAAAAATCACACAACGAGATCAGTCATTGCGGTGGTTTGAATGAAAATGGCCTCCATAGGCTTGTATGTTTGGAGGCTTGGTCCCAAGTTTGTGGAACTGTTTAGTAAGGATCAGGAAGTTTGGCCATGTTAGAAGGACGGTGTCACTGGAGGCTGACTCTGAGATTTCAAAAGCTCCACACCATTCCCCACGGTCTTCTGCCTCCCACTTATGGATCTAAATGTGAGCTCTCAACTATTGCTCCAGACATCTGTTCCCATGCCTTCATTCAGCCCTCATAGATTCTTACCTTCTGGAATCTTAGGCCCAGTTAATCCCTCTTTTATAGGTTTCCTTGGTCATAGTGTTTTATCGCAGCAATAGAAAGTGCCTAATGCACAAGTTAGTGGCTCAGACGGTCCATGGCTGTGTGGGTTTCTTCTGTTTTGTTTGTTTGGCAGGTGTGGGGAGTGGGTGAGTGTGGAAGATTTTGAGACTTTGGATTAAGAAAGCAACTGAGCCTAATGGGCTACCTCAGTAGGAACTTGGAAGATAGGCGTGCTGAGAGCTAAGTGGACTGACAAGGCCCAGCTCAGACGCCAGACCAGCAAGCCCTAGACAGCTACAGGGCTGGAGACCATCCTGTGATATTTTGTCAGTCTGGCTCCATTCTTGCCCTGGTTTAAGAATTTGCCAGAGGCTCAATTGAAAAGTAATGGACTAATTCCTTTTTGTTGTGTTTGTTTGTTTTTTGTTTTTGTTTTTTTCTGAGTCAGGGTTTCTCGGTGTAACAGTTCTGACTGTCCTGGAACTCATTCTGTAGACCAGATTGGTCTTGAAGGTCACAGAGATCCTCCTGCCTCTGCCTCCTGAGTGCTGGGATTAAGGGTGGGAGCCACCACCACCACCACCCAGCTAATGGACTAATTTCTTTAGAGGAGAAAGTCTCAAACAGTTTAATATTGACTCCGTTGCATGGTTGTTAGTGATCACAGGTCTATAATAATAAAAAAATAATAATAATAAAGAGCAAGTGAGGCGAAAAGCAGTACAAGGGCTGGAGAGATGGCTCAGTAGTTAAGAGCACCAGCTGCTCTTCCAGAGGACCAGGACTCCATCCCCAGCACCCACATGGCAGCTCACAACCATCTGCAACTCCAGTGCCCATGGATCCAATGCCCTCTTCCGGCCCCTGTGAACACTGCACGAATGTGGGACAAGCAAAACACCCACACACGTAAAATAAGACTAAAGGAAAATTTAAAAAATAATACAAAGAAGTAATACAAAATATACAGTTTGAAGAGCCAAAGAGTACCAGGAAATTCAATGTTGGAGCCCAAGCCTGTGCTAAAATAAATCCAGAGACTAAGGGGAGGCCTGATCTACTTAGGAATAAAGGGAAGAATGCCCTCCAGGCAAGACTCCACCCAGCGAAGCTACCAAATTGTAAAATGAAAAGGACTAGAGAATTTTCTGCTCCTAGAAAGCAACAACAACAACAGAAAATAAATCAAAACTGCTATAAATGTGATTCAAGGGTGCCAGGTGGGTCACCCAAGCTGGTAGTTGAAGTTGGCAGTGTCGTCCATGTGGTTCTGGCTTTAGAGGCATGAACCATAGCCAAATAAAGGGGCTGTGGAGACCTCAGTGGTTAAAGAGACCTGTTGTGGGAGGGCAATGTGTAGCAGGACAGAGTCTGCATGGAGGCCCCTAGAGAGTGAGAACACCTAAGAGGCCGTTACACGAATTGGTAAAAGTAAGGATGAGATTTTTTTTGTTGTTGGTTTTTTTTTTTATGAGACAGGGTTTCTCTGTATTGTTTCGGAGGCTATCGGTCCAGCCTGGCCTCGAACTCACAGAGATCCGCCTACCTCTGCCTCCCGAGTGCTGGGATTAAAGGCGTGCGCCACCAACGCCCGGCTCAAGGATGAGATTTTTACTGGAGATTCCAGAACGTCATTCAGAGCCACGGGATATCTGCTGAGAAGAACGGCAGATAGAGAGCAGAATCAACCCAAAGGATGGAAGTGTGTCACGGTCAGCAAAGCTTCGGGGGAGCACCATCTAAACTCTGTGACACCAGACAAAGATGGAACTGTAGAGTCTGGAGTTTGTCCTGCTAGGTTTGAATCTTGTTTTAGTCCAATTTCTTCATCATGGGGGCATTGTATGTTTGAAGTATGTAACTTGCTTTTTCACCCTACTGGGTGAAGGTGAGGATTGTAATTATATCACTAGACCCAAGGTAAATGACAAAGAAAAATACAAAGAACCGCTGGAGGTTTCCCTGCTCTTCCTACTGGATCTGCTGACCCTCCAGCAAAGAGCACACCAAGTAAAGTCATGCCTCAAGCTCCTCTCATTCAGCTTCTATCTGCCTGAAACCACACCCAAAGGGGTGTGGCCACCATTACAGGTTCACAGACCAGATGCCTACAATTGGGGATTACAATTAGGAAGAAACATTGGACTTTGGACCTTTAAACAAAGTTGGGACTGAAAGACTATGGGGACTTTTATGCATTATACATCATGGTATGGCCATGAGCCTATAGAGTGGAATGTGGTTGTCTGGATAAGAATGGCCCTCATATGTTTAAATGCCTGGTCTTCAGTTGATAGTACTGTTTGGGAAGGACTAGGAGGTAAGGCCGTCATGGCAGAGCAGAGTGGTAGCAGGAGGGCATGGCAAGCCAAGCGCTCACATCTTGAACTGAAAGCAGGAAACAGAAAGAGGCATGTCAAATTGGGAATGTTGCATGGCTTTTGAAACCTCAGAGCCAGCCATCAGTGACATACTTCTTCCAGCAAGGCCTTACCTCCTAAGCTTACCCAAGCAGCACCACCAACTGGCCCACAAGTATCCATGTGCTTGAGAATATCTCATTCAAATGACCACATCTACTGATACTGTGTTTATGTATTGTCTTCAACATCGTTTCAATCATTTAAAGAGACTAGCCAATTAAGAGTGTGTTTGGCAGCCGGGCGTTGGTGGCACACGCCTTTAATCCCAGCACTCGGGAGGCAGAGGCAGGCGGATCTCTGTGAGTTCGAGACCAGCCTGGACTACCAAGCGAGTTCCAGGACAGCCTCCAAAGCCACAGAGAAACCCTGTCTCGAAAAACCAAAAAAAAAAAAAAAAAAAAAAAAAAAAAGAGTGTGTTTGGCAGCCATTCCATAGGTGGGAACGGACAACCAGAGCACAGTGCCCATGCTACCTCATCGTCTTTGTGTTACAGGACCAACAAGGAGCAAGGCACTGCATTAAACTTCAGAGCACACAGCAATCCGGGAAGCTGTGCACAGGTTTCCACTCAAAGTCACCTCGAAGTCATTGGTACTGCAGTATATAAACAACAGCAGGGAGTCAAAGCCACTGCAGGAGTTCTGCAGTCCTGCTAGGGTCCACTAATGCTATATAGACTCTCACTTGCTTCTCCCTAATGGCAACATTAGATGGTAAACAGGACCACCACCTGTTACAAAGAGCCAAAGCTCAGTAAGAGTCAAGCAAGAAGCTTCCTTGCTGGAAATCAAAGCACTCAGGACTGGGACCCAGTTCCTCTGCAGCTCCAGAGTCTGGCATTTCCCACAAGATACAGTTCTGTGAGCCCACCAGAAACCTGGGTTCAGTTTCTAGCAATGCAGATGAGGCTTTGCCTCAAAGATGCCCATAAAATTTTTTTGTTTACTTGGGGGGAGGAATGCTATAAAACATACTGATTGTCTTTAGACAATATTGAAAATAGCACTTCACTTAAGTACTCTGATAGTTAAACATCGGGTGGCAGAGTCTGCCAAAGAATGAGGACATTTTATTTAAAATTACACTGGCATAAGACCATCAAAGTATCCTTAACATTTTCATTAAATTGAGATACAGAAGAGTTAGGGCAGTAAATCTCTTCTGATACAAGGAGTTCATGTATGAGCCAAGGCTAGAGGCAGCTGTGGGGGCTAAAATAATCAGTAGCTGAAGAAGTCTAGAAATATCCAAGACTTTGGGGAAAGCGTTTTGTGTGTATCCAGGCCTTGTGTTAGGGGTCCAAGTCATGCAGCGGGCCAGTGGTGGCTGAGCAAGGTCTGAGTGGCTCAGGTCTCCTGTGGCCTGGTTAGGCATACGTGAGGTGGGCAGAACCAGGTATGATACTCTTCGAAGTAGGTTAGCAGCTCTGACAATGACCACTAGTAAAGAGGGTGTTGTTTACTGTGTCCAGAGGCCACGATGGCAGAGGGCAGTGTGGCAGTGGGCTGGGCGGCTGAAGGCAGAGGGAGGGAACAAACTGCTTCTCATCGTGGTTTCTTTTCTTTTCTTTCTTCTTGTTTTTTTGAGACAGGGTTTCTCTGTAGCTTTGAAGCCTGTTGTGGAACCCAATTGGTAGACCTTGAACTCCTGAGTGTCTTTGCCTCCTGAGTGCTGGGATTAAAGGGTGTCCGT